AATTTCAACAAGGACTTCGCGAATATCGCGGGGCCATTGTATGAACTATTGCAGAAGGTTACTTTCAAGATGACGGATGAAAGAATCTCCGCATTTCATCTGCTGCAAAAGGCATTATCCGAGCGTCCAGGCCTGTCTAACCCACATCCATCATGGCCATATGTCCTGGCACTGTGCTTCTACGATTGCGATTGGTGCTTGTCTTATGCAGTTAGATGAGGCGAACTATCTACGTCCGGTTCGATTCGGGTCTCGTCGTCTTACTCCTGCCGAAAGAAACTGGCCGATCTATGAGCTTGAAGGTTTCGCGGTAGTGCATTTCATGCTTGCATTCAGACCGTATCTGATTGGTGGAACTTTCACTGTGAGATCTGATCACAAACCACTCCAGTGGTTGTGGAAAATCGACAAGCCGCGTCTAGTCAGATGGTCAATGACTTTGCAACAATTTGATTTCAAGATCGTGTACAATCCTGGTACAGCGCGGGAACAAGTCGACATATTCACCAGAGACGTTAGATTGACACCTCGGATTGGTAAGTGTTGAAAAACCTGTGGGAGATCGAGCTGCAAGACAACTTGAAAGGCTAGTTGGTGATGAAGCAACATCGATTCCAGTGTCATTCCAAACCTCGTTGTGGACAACAATTTTCCGACTATCGAAGACTTTATTGATGCAGCAAAAGAGGTTACCCCTGTTCCTGATGGATGCATCATACAGGAGAAGCTACTAGTTCAGGCAAAGTCGGGCTTAATGTACGTACCTGAAAGGCTAAGGGCTCGTATATTATTATATTACCACTACAGTAGAGTAGGGGCACAGAAGATGATTGTTAGAATCAAGAAACACTTCTACTGGTCCTTGTTAGCTAGAGATTGCGTCGACTTTACCGCTGGTTGTCTTACTTGTCAACGACGTATGAATGTGGTCAATCTGGTTGGTAAAGGTGTGTTACTATCCACGGACTTCAACATACTGGTATCTGTTGATGCCATCGGACCATTCATGTATAAGAAGAAGTCTTACAATTTAATCACGACAACTTAACCAAATGGGTTGAAGTTGGTATACTTGAAGATGGT